TTTATTCTAATTGAAAGAAATAAATGCCATCAAAGTGATTAATACAGAAATGTCAATGAAGCATCAATTGCAGAAAAGAAAACAAGAATAACGTTTTTCTTGACTGATAGGCTATTTTCTTATTCTCTAACTAAAGGAAAAAAGTTAGTGAGTTTTATTTTCTGTTCCCATATGCTAAATAAAATGCTTTTACAAAACACATTTAACATTGAAGGACTTTGCCTCGTTCGCGTTGTATTTTTTTTTTTTTTAATAACTTCGGTTAGCCTTAGGCTACTTTCACTTTACACGGGACGTCACACCCCACGCTGCACAGACACGTTAGTCGTGTTTTTTCTGTTTAAGATTAATGTCTGTGGAAACCAATTAAATGACTAATATTCATAATAATACTCAAACATATTTCATGAATATATGGTGTAATGTTCATAAAAAGTAGATCGATCATCCATGAGACTCACGGTGAATGTGTAAATCAGCCATGTTCTTATTCTGTTTTATTTTGTGTCATGCATGTATTATATTTTGAGACAATATCTGTTATTTCTTCTTCAGTTGTGTCTGATGTTGGTGCAGATGTAGTGCCATTGTCAGTGATGGAGGGAGATTCAGTCACTCTATACACTGGACTTATTAAATCCCAACAAGAAAGAATGAAATGGTATTTTCATGTCGATCGTATAGCAGAAATCACTGGAGATCAGAGTAAGATCTGTACAGATGATCAGTGTAAAGAGAGATTCAGAGACAGACTGAAGCTGGATCATCAGACTGGATCTCTGACCATCACAAACACCAGAATCACAGACTCTGGACTTTATAAACTACTAATCAATAGCCATAACAGTGAAATAATCTTTGGTGTTTCTGTCAGTGGTAAGTCATTAAGTGAATGTAAAAAAAACACCGGTTAATGGTGTTTGTATAACATATTTATTGTGGTGATATTCAGTACTGAGAAATTAATTCAAGAACAGTTTGTAGAGTTAAGGTCTGAGTCATTAAACAGTTCAGTTTGATTTAAAAATAAATAATTTCCTTTGGTAAGTTGTTAGTTTTGACAGATGTTGGTTTGCATTTCAGCCATTTCTGCTGCTCAGCTAGACAAAATGAAGAAAAAGGAGGGAGAATCTGTCAATTTAGATCCTGGTGTAATAAAACACCCAAATGATGTGATGACGTGGTATTTTAATGGCTCTCTCATGGCTGAAAACACTGGAGATCAGAGTAAGATCTGTACAGTTGAACAGTGTGATGAAAGATTCAGAGACAGACTGAAGCTGGATCATCAGACTGGATCTCTGACCATCATGAACACCAGAATCACAGACTCTGGAGCTTATGAACTGAAGATCAACAGCAGCAGATTCAACATCAGTAGGAGTTTCAGTGTTACTGTCACTGGTGAGTGTCATTTGGTCATTCGGTGCATTTTCTATTGCAGATTGACCTATATTATTACATTATAATTGATATAATTTCTATCAACTTTATGCACATGAAATTGAATGAACAATATTTACTCTTTCGCCATGTTGTATTCCTTCTCTTACTGAGGTAACAAGTTTTTATTAACATTATTATTATTTTTTTTTTTTGTATGCCTCAAACTGGCTGATCAAGCCCAGCCGCTAATGGGTGTGAAAGTTCCACACATTTTTACATTTTTGGCAAAAGGGCTGCTCCACCCTTTTCCTCTGTATTTTAGTCATGTAGCACCGATTGAAAAAATTTCACTGTGGCTTGATATGGCTTGAACCAACCACAAACGTTTGGGCAAGGATCTTTATTTGAAATCTTATGTAATATATGTGACCCTGGATCACAAAACCAGTCATAAGGGTCCATTTTCCTGAAAGCTGAATAAATAAGCTTTCCATTGACGAATGGTTTGTTAGGATAGGACAATATTTGGCGAGATCTGGAAATCTGGAATCTGAGGGTGCAAAAAAGAAAGAAAAAAAAGAAAAATCTAAATATTGAGAAAATCACCTTTAAAGTTGTCCAAATGAAGTTCTTAGCAATGCATATTACTTATCAAAAATTACATTTTGATATATTTACAGTAGGACATTTACAAAATATCTTAATATCCTAATGATTTTTGCCATTGAAAAAAAATCGATAATTTTGACCCATACTGTGTATTGTTGGCTATTGCTACAAATATCCCCGTGCTACTTACGACTGGTTTTGTGGTCCAGGGTCACATATTACATTTTAACATTCTGTAATAAATTAATTTAAAATAACTGACCACATCAGAAATGGGCTGTACAGCTGACATGAGCAGGTCCATAAATATATGCAAAACTAAAGGCGCTGACTAAAAGGCATTAATACTGTAAAAAAAGTGATAGATTCTGAATAGACACATAAAATAAGTTAAAGTTATAATGTTGTGAAAAATAACACTGATGTCCCATCCCTTATAAGCGGTCAATAATAATATACTATATTTATCACTACTTTTAAATCAGTGTTTACTTGCACGTGTTACATGTTTGCATTTAATGCACATACCAGTCACATTTTTCTACCCACAATCTGTATGATCTGTATTTATCACTACTTTTAAATCAGTAGTGATCCCACAACCCATCACAACCCATCACATATGGGTTGTGTGGGTTGCACGTGTTACATGTTTGCATTTAATGCACATACCAGTCACATTTTTCTACCCACAATCTGTATGATCTGTAGAAAAACATTTTTGTCACATATGGGTTGTGTAAACACAAACGAAGATGAAAATGAGAGATCTTTAATAATTAAACATATCCACAATCACAGTAAAGTGGAGACCCAACAATAATGAACAGAAACAGTAGAACTTAAATACAAATGCAAATGAGGGGATTAGTGACAAAACAGCTGAGCAAAATGGCAAATCAAACCATTTTTACAGCACTACTCCAAAAATGGCTTGTGATGAGCTGTTCATTTCTTTTTCAGATGCATTTGGTGTTGATACAGATGGTGTGTCAGTGATGGAGGGAGATTCAGTCGCTCTACACACTGATGTTAAAATGACCCAACAAGACAGGATTAGATGGTATTTTAATAGCATTCGCATAGCAGAAATAATTTATAACCACAGTAAGATCTGTACAGATGAACAGTGTAAAGAGAGATTCAGAGGCAGACTGAAGCTGGACAGTCACACAGGTGATCTCACCATCACAAACATCAGAACCACAGACGCTGGAGTTTATAAACTACTGATGAACAGCCGCAACAGTGACAGGATCTTCAATGTTGCTGTCAGTGGTGAGTCCTATATGTTTTATACTTAACTTATATACTGTGTTTATTATAGAAGTGACACTCAGACTGACAAATCACAATTGTTGAGAATTATGCGTGACATTTTCCAAATCAAAACGGTTGACCAATCACAACACACTGGTCCTGCCGGCCAATCACAGCACATTGCGCTTTTCAAAAGGTGGGGCTTCATAGAGACATAACAGAGTGTGCAACAATGCCAAATATGTGAAAAATAAGGTTTTGAACATTTGGGCATAAAAACAAAATCAAGACTTTGAAAAAGGGCATAATGGGTCCTTCATAAAATAACCTTTGTCAACAAGGTTTACTACACATGCAAAAAAAAAAGAAAAGTTTCTGAATTAATTAATTGCTTATTTATGTATCAGTAAATCAAAACAGTGATGTTGCACTACTGTATGTCAGTCATTGCAATGGAATGATCATTTAGCATATACTTGCTGTACCTGCTGTCATTCTGGAAGGCATCTGCCATATGAAAGCATCTCAAACAGCACAAGTATTTGATTAAGGTGTGCCTTGTTGGTTTCTTACTTCAGTACTCTGCCAAAACAGAATGTTTTAGCTCTTAGATGCAGACTTTGTAGTTTATAATAAGAGCATTTGTGAGTCAGTGAATGTACAATGATCAAAACTCTTATGCGCAGTTTAAATGCATCTGATTTGCTGTTTTGATCATGTGCTCAACAGACATGTCTGGTTTAAGTGCTCAGCACTGCAAAAACTGTTGACTAAATCCTTTAACACAATGGAAGTGCATCTAAATGACTATTAATTCACACTCATCTCTTTAAACATATTTGCTGTTAACTTAAAGTGGAATTTGGAGTGTTTACATAATTAAACTGAATGACTGCAAACATAAACAATTTCAATCACTGATTTGTTCTAACCGTTTTGGTTCATAAAAATATACATCTTGAGTTTTTAAATAAAATCATAAATAAGCCTTTTTTCACCTCACATATTAGCTGTTTACATGAGGATTTGATGTAGAATGCAAAAACAGGGATATATGTTGCTTTTCAGACTCAAGACTCAAGTCAAGAAAAATAGTGCGTAATGGTATTCTTGCCCACAGTGTAGTTTTGTTTGTTTGTTTTTGTCCACAAAAAGATCTTCCTCCAGCTGTTGGTTTGTGTTTCAGGTATTTCTGCTGAACAAGACGAAATGAAGAGAAAGTCAGTGCAGAAGGGAGAATCTGTCACTTTAGATCTTGGTGTAATAAACCCAAACGGTGTGATGAATTGGTATTTTAATGACATTCTCATCGCTGAAAACACTGGAGATCATAATAAGATCTGTACAGATCAACAGTGTGATGGGAGATTCAGAAACGGCCTGAAGCTGGATCATCAGACTGGATCTCTGACCATCACAAACACCAGAACCACAGACTCTGGAGATTATACACTACAGATCAACAGCAGCAGATTCAGCATCATTAGGAGCTTCAGTGTTACTGTGATTGGTGAGTATCATTTAGTCATTCTGTGCCTTTTTAGAAAACAGTTTGAAATACTTAAATCGTCCAGGTAAATGTTCTCATTGTGGATCATCTCTCATCTTCAAATGCACATAAAAGCAAGAGATAATTGTCACATTGGGTTCTGTCACATTGAATAGTTTACAATTTTGAAGCCTATTGTTAATAAGAAAAATACATAATATTACCTTTCCTTGAAAGTCACTGTTGCTAAAAAATAAATAAATAAAAAACTGCACCATTTATCAATATCCTCCTGAGACCCTGCGTCCTCATATGAGGACATTATATTTTAGTGAATTTCTCTGAGACTGTACATGTCACAGTTTGAAGTCTGGATGTCCTGTGCAGAGCACATTCAGGGCTTTTCAGAGATACTAAATGTTTGGATGTTTCACCATGACCACCCCCTCTCCTTGGTCTTCAAATATGTCTGATAATAATTTAGTGACACTCTTATGGAATTATGATAATATTTTGTAATTATTATTTAAATTTTTTATTTATTTATTTTATTTATTGATTTAGTCATTTAGCAGACGCTTTTATCCAAAGCGACTTACAAATGAGGACAGCGTTGTTTATTATAGCATGTTTATTAAGCATTTTGGGAGACACAACAAATGAATAGGGAAAGAAATTATATTTTCAATATTCCTATGAAATATTATATATTATTATGAAAATCTTGTCAATTATTACTCCCATTATTACACTTCTTTTTTCATTACATGTTGCCCCAAAAACAGTTTTTTTAGTTTATAGATTCATTATATATAATGAGAAAACCTGTTTATGGCCATTTTACGCACATTTTGCATAAAGAAAAATGGTATATCAAATCATTCTATAACATAGTTGAGAATTATCTTCATACAAAGTTTGGTCTAAAAAAAAAATATCCTGAAAACTAAAAATGTATTGGTGATTTAAAAAAAATCAATTGTGTTTGCCTATGCCTTTTATTTTTTTTAAACAAATTGAGTCCTCTACCAAGGACGTAGCATAACTTATGGATGAAATATCATTTTTACATTTTTTTTAATGCTCTAAACAATGTAATGACATGAAAAAATACTAATTTTTTCCTAAAATGTTTTGCCGGGTCTTAAGAGGATATCATACAACTTTCTACTGAAATTATTGGTAGAGTTAATTATCAGTTGATCTCTAGTAATAATGGCTTTCTGTCTTTAGCTTCTCTAGGTTCAGGCCCACCTTCAGGTGCTGCAGCAGCAAGTGCTTCTGTTATTGGTGGTATTATTGCTTTTCTTGTTGTCCTGCTGGTCATGGCTGTAGCAGCTGGTTGTGTGCTTAACAATGGCAGTATTACAGATGTAACGGAGGCCACCGAGTAGGTGCTGTGCAGGTAAACCTCACTCCCCTGATCTCAAGCAGACAGCAGTTAAAATGTTGTATTTAAACTTAACATAACTTGTGCAAAATCCATCTATGGATTTTGTTTATAGTGATTTCATTTGATTGTTAATAGCCAACATGTTTTTTTATTCAGATTGAATTTATTAAATTTAAGAATCTGTCATAAAAGGACACAGATATGACAATACATTTTCATAATAATACATCTCTTTGGTTTTTTCTGCTCAGTGTTATTTCAGGGTTTTGATCTCTCAACTGAGA